GGTGTTCGCTGTAACAAACAACTTGCCACTCAAACGCCGGCAGGCTGCGCATGCGCGGCCGCCGCGGGGCCTGCCGGGACTTGTAGTCGCGCGCGGCCGGGGCTGCGGGGGCTGGGCGGCCGCGCGTGGGGCAGGCCGGGCGCCGGCGGAAGGTGGGACCGCACGCCCCTGCTGGGCCGCGGAGAGCAGGGGGTGCGGGTGCGGGGGTGCGCCGGGGGGCCGGCGTGGGCCTAGCTCGCTGCGAGCTCTCCCCCCGAGATCGGGGCCGTGCGCTCCGGGGTTCGCAGCTCCCGCGCCGGGGGAGGAGGCCCGGGTCGGGGAGGGGCGAGATGTGGAGAACCGGTGGTCAGAGCGCGCGGAAGCCGCGCAGACTCTGGGGCCGCCGACAGAGGTGGGGCCGACGGCGTCTGGCGCGGGGACGGGGGGAGTTCCCGGAGGAAGGGTCCTCCAGGCTGGGCGCTGAGGGGTGGATGGGAGCTCGCCCGGGAGGGGGGCGGGGCGCGGCCCGAGGCCTTCCAGGCAGAAGGAACAGCGAGTCCGGAGCACGGAAGCGTGAAAGCCCCCGCCGAGCGCTGTTTGGCTTTGCTGGAGCGGAAAATGGGAGGGAGGAGAGGCGAGAGATAAGGCAGGCGTCGTCTCCAGGAGTCCGGTCGAGAGGGGTCATGGGTGCGGATCTAATGAGGCGGCTGTGGGGCCCGCGCGGGAGCGGGTGACGGGGACCGTGACGGCCGACTTAGTGAGCAGTCTGCCACAGTCCGAGGGGTCATTCCCACCCCGGGGCCCCTGTGCGGTGACCGCGGCCTGCGACGCATCCCCGTCGCGGCCGGCTGGTTGGAGATGGCCTGGGTTAAGGTTGCCGGTGCTTCTCCCGTTGGCAGAGTGACCTGGGGACAGGGTGGGTCAGGCTGACCTGCTGGGGCAGGCTGTCAAGGCTCTTTCTGGGGGAAAACTCCAGCGATGCCCTCCCACATGCTCTCTCCAAGCTGGCCTCTGATAGGTAGGAACATATGAGGCTCCCTCTTCCACAAAGCGGTGTGAAACCTGCAATCTGGCGGCTCCTCCGGAGGGCTGATCCCTTTCCCGCTTTGTTTTCACTGAAGAATTTATCACCCTATAATAAAGAATATATTTACTTTTTTTTGGTTTTTGTTGGTTTGTCTGTCTCCCTCTTGCAGAACCTCACCTCCATGAAGGCATGGACTTTTATCTGTTCTCTGCTCAATTCCCACTGCTTGCGATGTGGCTGGCCTGTGAGACACAGGCGTTTCAATATTCATGGAGTGCACAAATGCAAAACCTATTCTTCGGGAGTCTAGGGGTCTACAAGGCCCAAACAGAAATGTGCGTTCAGGGCTCAGGCAAGTAATAGGGACGTGTGACCCAGTTGGGTATCAGACAGTCCTAAGTAGAACAGGGGAAGGGAATCCTGCTTGAAGGCATCACATTCTATTAAAAAAAAAACAAAAAACAAAAACGCCACAAAACCACCAACAGAGGAAAGCAAGCAAAGTCTTACTCAAAAGCAGTTCACAATTCTGCGGGTTTTCGGGTCAAGCCAGACCATCGTAACGTTTGCAATTTTGATGGTATGGCTTTGCGTTGCAGAATCGCTTCTGTTCAGCTGTATTTGTGATTCTAGTTTTGAGGAGATGACTGCAGAAATCAGCGTTGAGGTGTTAGAGAGACTGTCCTGTGGGCTGCCAAGTCCAGGGCATGTTTTCAGGCTGGGACTAGGGTGAGACAAGGCACCCTTGACGTCATGGAGTTCACTCCTCTCCCTTGATTCCTTAGCGCTGTGCCCTTCTGGTGCCCCTCTGGTTCTTCCACTTGCCAGCTGTGGTTTCTTCTCTGCCCAACCCTACAATGAATGGAGGCCCCCTTGATGTTCCTTCCCATAGAGGATTTATACCAAAATGGCTGCCAGTGAATCAGGCCTTCCGGTAAGTCTTCCGCGTTGACTCTGGGTTTGGCTCTAGGACCTTTTTGGCCAATGTGCTTGATAAGTCCTATACAGTGGGACTCGCCCTCTTGGAACGCTGCCCTGAGACCACTGTGCTGTGGAGAAGTCTGGATGAAAGACCACAGGGAAGGAAGGGCCTGAGTGTAGGCCAGCTCTTCCCAGCCTACAGCTGGTCTCAACTGACCTGTCCCTCTTGGACCTTCCTGCTCGCTGTCCAGATGAATGCAATGTCCTGAGTCAGCCGGCTGACCAGAAGAGCAATTAGCCAGCCAACCTGTAGAAAAATAACAAATAGTCGTTTTTAGCCACTAAGATTTGGAGTGGTTCATTATATAGCAATAGATAATTCAGCCCTCATCTTCTCTCACTCTGGGTGGACTTAGTCTCTGACTTTGATACGTTGATGGTCCCCAGATTGACAGTCCCCCGTAAGAATATGTTCCAGAGGCCCTGACTGATGCATCTTGCTTCCTAGCGGTTGGCTACCCCCTTCTGAATGTTGACAGGCTCTGCCAACCCAACCTGTTTGAACCTGACCACATTGTCTGATCCACCTCTGACCTTCCCCTTCTCCTCTTCCTCCTGGAATCCCTGTCTTGGTGAAGGACACCAGACCTGTTTTCTCAAGTTACCAACCTGGTGTGGCACCCTGTATTTTCCAAGATGGCGGCAGTATGGTCTTCCATCCTCCATGTTCTTCTGGCAACATGCCAATCAGGAGGTGAGTCTATGTTCTCTCCCCTTGAATTTGAGCAGGACTGTGACTTCTGAAACCAGGTCCTCACAGGTGATACTTTTTGCCCCTTGTCCTCTCGGGATGGTCTCCCTTGGAACCATTCTGCCATGCTCTGTGGAAGCACGGGCCACACAGACCACAGGTAGGCGTTGGTATTGGTTGGTTAGGCCTGTGTAACAACCACCACAGACTGGGGTGGGGCTTACACAGCAAAAATGTATTGTCTCACAGCCTGAAGGCTCAAAGGCCAAGATTAAGTTGTCGGCAAGTTTGGTTCCTTCTGAAGCTTCTCTCCTTGGCTTGTCAGTGTCTGTCCTCTCCCTGTGTCTTCACATGGTCTTCCTCTTTCTGTGTATCTGGTGCCCTCATCTCCTCTTTTTAAAAGGATGCCTGTTATATTGATTAGGGCCCCCACTAAAGACCCCACTTAATCACCCTTTCAAGGTGATCACCCTTCCAAGTCACCCTTCCAAATATGGTCACATTCTGAGGTCCTGGGGTTGAGGACTTCGACATTGGAACTTTGGGGACATGAGACACAATTTGACCCATAGCACTACTCTGGCCAACGGCCCCACTGAGGTTCAGCTGTCCACCAGCATCCCTACCAGATGGGTGAGGAAGAATTTGTACGACACAAATACATGAGACACCTCCCCTCCGCCCCACCAAGGCAAGAACCATCCTGCTAAGCCCAGCCTCTGCAACTCTGAGAGGCAATAATGAAATCCATGTGGTTGCCTTAAGCCACTCACTTCGAGATGGCTTGGTAAGCCGCAGTCCGTAACTGGAACACCCTGGGATCAACTTGGGGGTGGGGAATGGAGGAAGTTGATTGTGCAATTGTCCTAGATTGTTATCTCTCGCTTCCTGTTCCCCCAACCCTATAGACAGATAGATTTTTTTTTTAAGGTGGGGTGGAGCAGACGGAGAAGGAGAGGGAGACACTTAAGCAGACTCTAGCATGGACGCCTGACCTGGGGCTCCAATTCATGATGCTGTGATCATGACCAGAGCCAAAATCAGAGTGGAACGCTTAACCGGTGAGCCACTGGGGTGCCTCCCCACCCCTACCCCAACCCCTCTATCTGAACAATCACCAAGTCCTAATGATTTTAGAGACCATATATCTCTAATCCAGCATCCTTCTCCACTCTGGCTACCATGACCCCATGTCAGAGCATGACTCCCCTCTCCTGAAGGTCCTAATGTCCATTCTATCTACCCCTTGTTCCCAGGATAGCTATTCTACTCTGCGACCCTATCCCCCTGTAACAACTCTGCCAAATGTCCTTTAAGGCCCAGGAGGAAACCACAGTTCTCTTAAGAAAACCAATCTCAGATCCTCCACAGCTGGTCTTATGTAAAAGGGAAACGCTTCCTGGTTTCTAGAACAATTTTCAATATGGTAGCCATTAACCACATATGGCTATTGGGCAGTTGAAATGTGGCTAGTGCCATGAGACTCTGATGTCTTAATTTCAGTTGATTTTAATTTAAATTAAAAAACTGCTACTCGATTCTGTTATTAGAAAATGTTCAAGGGGCTCCTGGCTGGCTCAGTGGGGAGAGTGTGCAACTCTTGATCTTGGGGTCATGATTTCGAGCTCCGTGTTGTGTTGTAGAGATGACTTAAATAAATAAACATTAAAAAAAAAAAGATTTCAAGTGTGTTTGAAATAGCGCGCTTAACTGTCCTCTTTTCTCGGGGACTGAGGAGGATTTCAGGATGTGGGGTAAACCGGGACACGTTGATCATACGACTATGAAACAACTTGGTATGGAAATCTGTGAAATCTAAAACCCAGATCAAGAATTGTAGGTGAAAGTTAAGCATCCAAATGGTGATGTACAATAAAATAAAGTATACCCTGGCTTTCCAAGACTTGGCATTAAAAAAAGAATGCAGAATATCTCAATTTTTTAATATCGATTGCATGTTGAAATAATAATATTTTAGATATTGGGTTAAATAAAATATATCATTAAATTGATTTCATCCGTTCCTTTTTCATTTTTTTTAAAACTTCCAAAGACCATATGGCTTGCATTATATTTTCTTGGATGGGGCTTTTCCAGCTCAGTGGCTCTTAGGCTGTGTTTAGTGTCAGAATCATGGGAGGTAGAAATACCCAGGCCCAGGCCATCTCCTGCTTCAACGAGCTTGGGCCTCTGTTCTTTATCGACCCCCAGGCCCCAAACACCTGGCTGTGGTGGGATGGGGTGTGGGAGTGTGGGTGCCAGGAACCCCCTTTCCACTTAAGTCTGGAGTCTCCGGACCCAAGAAAGCGATGCTCAAAGGGAGGCAGGACTTCTCAGTCTGCCTGGCTGGGGCCTAGCATGGCCTTTGCCTCGAGTTCCTAAACTTAAGAACCCACCTCCTCTCCAGAAGATGGGCCCCTATAATGTTCACCATCTTCAGAAAAGGTTCTGGCCCCTCTCCACAGGCCGAGACGTGCACACTCAGGCTGCTTTGGTTCTGTTGATCTGGAGTGGGATCGGACATCCCCCCCCACCCCCGCCCCGTTTCCCTGTGATTACCAGTGTGCCCCCAGGGTCGAAAACCGCCACCCCCAAGCCTCCACACCCACCTCTCAAATTCCATTTGAGCAAGAATACCAACACCTGGGTACTTGTTAGAAATGCAAACTCTCAGGCCCCATCTTGGACCTGCTTAGTCAGAAACTCTGGAGGTGGGACCCTCAGGTCTCTGGAACAAGCCCTCCAGGAGACGCTGACATAGTCTCGAGTTGGAGAGCCACTGCCTTTGCAGAAGAGCAAAGTCAGCACCTGAGCAACATGGCCAGATCCGGAGTCTTATAGAAGTTCTGGGGTACGGGTGAGGTCATTTCTGTCACTGGCTAGAAGCCCTTAGCCCCCACAAGGAGCTGAAGCCACTAGCTCCCTTGGCTGGAGCTCATGGTCATCTCTCCGTGGTGGCCACCCAGTGTACATTTGGATGATTTCCCATGTTCTAGAAGCTTCCAGACCTCCCTCTTGGCTGTGGTGCGGGCATATCAGACCAGCGGAAGACGGGGTCAGATTTGGGTTCAGAAGCCCAGCAGAGGAAGGTGGCAGGATTCCTCCTGGGGACTACTGCTGTGTGACATGCAGCCTACCCTTGGCAGAGCAGAACAATAATTTGTTATGCGCTCATGAATTCCGCAGGTTGGGAATGCAGATGGGGCACGTGGGGGCGGTTAGCCTTGGCCTCCAAGGCACTGAGCTGGACTTCCCCTGGAGAACTTGGATCCTGGGAGTGACTTGAGGGCTTGGGGGCTGGAATCATCTGGAGGGTTGTGCCCTCACATGGCTAGTGCTTGGATGGGCTGAGCTGGGATTGTGCACGGGAGCTCTCCTGTGCATGGCCTGGGTTTCTCAGCGTGGAGGCTGGACCCCCAGAGGGAGCATCTCCAGAGGCAGAGTTCCACGAGAGTCAGGGAGAAACCATAGGGCCTTTTTTTTTTTTTAACCTCAGATGCCACATGGCATCACTTTCATGGTATCTCTCTTGGTCAAAACAGGCACAACCTGTCTTGAGTCAAGACGGCGGGGGGGGGATGTCGTAGGCTTCCCCTCTTGGTGAAGGAATGACAAAATCACCTTGAGGGGCAAGTTAGATGGAATTCTTAGTGAAATCATTTTTTTTTAAAGATTTTATTTATTTATTTTGACAGAGAGAGATCACAAACAGGCAGAGAGGCAGGCAGAGAGGAGGAAGCAGGCTCCCTGCTGAGCAGAGAGCCCGATGCGGGGCTCGATCCCAGGACCCTGAGATCATGACCTAAGCCGAAGGCAGCGGCTTAACCCCCTGAGCCACCCAGGCGCCCCTGAAATCATTTTTTAAAAAAAGATTTTATCCATCTATCTGTTTATTTAGCGGACGAGCTGGGGAGAGGGTCAGAGGGAGAAGGAGAGAGAGGATCCCAAGCAGACCCTGTGCTGAGCGCAAAGCCCGACCTGGGGCTCAATCCCACGACCCTGAGGTCATGACCTGAGCCCAAACCAAGAGTCGGAAACTTAACTGACTGAGCCACCCAGGTGCCCCTATGCAGTCATTTTTGGAATCACTTGCCACTTAGTAAGGTGAGGTCCCTAGGAAAAGTTGTGGTTTGCAGAATTGCTGCCCCATGGTAGAGTCTGCGAGTTCAGCCTATACCCTGTTTCTCCAGCTCCCCCAAAGAGTCCATTCTTAATTTTTCTTTCTTTCTTTTTTTTTTGAAGATTTTATTTTTAAGTCATTTCTACATCGCCTCTGGGGCTCGAACTCACAGCCCCAGGATCAATAGTCGCATGCTCTACCAGCCAAAACCAGTCAGGGGCCCCTGTTCTTTTTTTTTTTTTTTTCTTAAAGATTTTATTTATTTATTTGACAGACAGAGATCACAAGTAGACAGAGAGGCAGGCTGAGAGAGAAGAAGGGAGCTGAGCAGAGAGCCCGATGTGGGGCTCGATCCCAGGACGCTGGGATCATGACCTGAGCCGAAGGCAGAGACTTTAACCCACTGAGCCACTCAGGAGCCCCCAAAGGTATATATGTTTAAGGCGTACAGTGTAATAACTTGACTTACACACATTGTGAAATGATTGCCCCTACGTTGAGTTAACATGCCTCATCTCATATAGATACAAAAATAGAAAAGGAAAAAGAATGTCTTTTCCCTTGTGATCAGAACTCTTAGGATTGGCTGTTAACTTCCCTGTGTATCACTCAGCAGATGTAACTTCCATCTTCGACTAGTGATTTATCTTATAACTCGAAGTGTGTACCTTTGGATCTCCTTCATCCCATTTAAGATCATACTCTTCATTCTAGAACATTTTAAAATTAAATTTAATTAGTTAATTTTAAAATTAACATATAATGTATTATTTGCCCCAGGGGTTCAGGTCTTTGAATCATCAGGCTTACACAATTCACAGCACTCACCACAGCCCATACCCTCCCCAATGTCCATTCCCTAGCCACCCCATCCCTACCCCCTTCCCCCAGCAACCCTCAGTTTGTTTCCTGAGATTAAGAGTCTCTTATAGTTTGTTTCCCTCCCTGGTCCCATCTTGTTTCATATTTTCCTTCCCTTCCTCCCATCGTCCCCCAGCCTGGCTTTCAAATTCCTCATATCAGAGAGCTCATATGATAATTGCCTTTCTCTGACTGACTTATTTCGCTAAGCATGATACCCTCTAGTGCCATCCACGTCGTTGCAAATGGCAAGATTTCATTTCTTTTGATGGCTGCATAGTATTCCATTGTATATATATACCATCTCTTCTTTATCCATCATCTGTTGATGGATATCTAGGTTCTTTCCATTGTTTGGCTATTATGGACATTGCTGCTATAAACATTCCAGTGCACGTGCCCCTTCGGATCACTATATTTGTATCTTTAGGGTAAATACCCAGTAGTGCGATTGCTGGGTTGTAGTGTAGCTCTATTTTCAACTTTTTGAGGAACCTCCATGCTGTTTTCCAGAGTGGCGATTTTAGAACAGTTTTGAAATCATAGGAAACTTGGGAGGGCAGTACATGGATTCCCGAGTATCCTGCACCCAGGATATTGTTACAATATATTACCATTAACTAAAGCCCATGCTTCATTCAGATTTCCCTAGGTTTTTTTGTTTGTTTGTTTGTTTGTTTTTTAAATAATCTCTACACCCATCGTTGGACTTGAGTTCACAAGCCTGAGACCAAAGGTTGCACACTCCACTGACCTTGCCAGCCGGGTGCCCCTAGATTTCCCTAGGTTTTACCTAATATCCTTTTTCTCTCCCCAGATCCCATCCCTGATACCACATGACATTTCATTGTCATGTCATGTCTTCTTAGGCTCCTCTTGGCTGTGACAGGTTCCTCAAGATTTAAAAATAAATTCCTTTTCTATGGGACCAGAGGGGACGCTGTTGTTTGCAACTAAGCTGTGCACAAGGCATTCAGCGCTCACTGCGGTCTGGTCTCTTCTCCCTCCGGTGGTCCCATCAACCACCACTCACAGCCCCACCCTCTATCCTCCATTGAGAATACCTCCTTCCCTCCCACATACGCTCTCATGGCCTCTAGTCCCTCACACAGGCTGATAGACACATCTTTTTTTTTTTTTTAAGATTTTATTTATTTATTTGACAGAGGGAGAGAGAGATCACAAGTAGGCAGAGAGGCAGGCAGAGAGAGGGGGGGATGCAGACTCCTCACTGAGCAGAGAGCCCGATGCGGGACTCGATCTCAGGACCGTGGGATCATGACCTGAGCTGGAGGCAGCCGCCCAACTGACTGAGCCACCCAGGCACCCTGGTTCTCTGGTTTCTTATAAAACTAAATATACACTCACCAGATGGTCCAGCAAGTCCACTCCTGGGTGTCTATCCAGGAGAAAGGAAAACTTACATT